AAAAAAAAAAAAAACAAATCAAGGGTCATCTACATCTTCTTGTAGTCCATCCAATAGACCATCGCTTTTTTATATTTTAAAATTTTTAAATCTTTCATGTGTATTAGTGTTTTGCCTGCATGTAAGTGCACCTGTGCAGGCAATGATGCAATGTCTGCAGAGGCCAGAAGAGGGTGCTGGATCCACAGGAACTGGAATTACAGAAGGTTGTTACCTGTCCTGTGGGCGCTGGGTCTTCTGTAAGAGCAATCAGTGTTCTTAACCACTGAACCATCTCTCCAACACACCCCGCCCCCCACCGTTTTTGGGGAATGGTCTCACTATGTTTGCCCTGGCTGGCATAAAATTCTTTATGTAGCCCAGGCTGTCCTTGAACTCACAGAGATCCTCTGCTTCTACCTCCCAAGTGCTGGAATTGATGGTGCATGCCACAACGCCACAACCCTCAGCTTAGTAGCTCAGCTCTTAATGATCCCTTCCTTGCTTCTCCAGATGATGTATACAAACCAAGGAGTTCTGTGGCCATCACTGCTGTGGTGTGGGCACCAGATGGCTCTGTGGTAGTGTCTGGAAATGAAGCTGGGGTGCTAACGCTGTGGCAGGAAGCCAAGGCTGTGACTACAGCACAGGTGACTTGGTCTATGTGAATTCTGCCCTAGCTGTGTGTTTAGTAGAACTTGCTGGGGTTAGAGGTTTCCCAGACATAGATATGTCTGGGAGGGGAAAGGTTTATCGTGGTTCCTCAGAAGGACTGAACTGAACTTGCTTTATACACCAGGCTCCAGGCCGCATCAGTGCCCTGATCTGGTACTCCGCACGCTCCTTCTTTGTTCTCAGTGCTGATGAAAAAGTCAGCGAGTGGCAAGTGGAACTGACGAATGGTTCATCATCACCCAGGGATTTCAGGTGAAACAAGGCAGCAGGTGATAGAAATGGTGACCAGCTTATACTTAGGATTTATTCAGACATCTCTGTCTTTAGGACCAGGCTGATAAGATGTTAGCTACTGAGCAAAAAACTATGTTCTGCTCTTGGCTTAATTTTTTGAACAATTACATTTATATACTTTGTGTGGGCATGTGTGATGAGGAACAGGATATGAGGGGCTGGCAAATAATTTTGCTTTTTTCTTCATGAGTGCCTGTGGGAATGAGGGGCGGAAGGAGGTTACCTAAAGTAGTATTGTTCTCTGTTCACCTCTATCTTCTGAGCTATAGGCTTCACCTGAACCGAGTTCTGCACAAGGATTTAGGAGTCCTGACAGGTGTGGGTCTGGCTCCTGATGGTCAGTCCCTCATCTTGATGAAAGAGGATGTGGACTTACTACAGATGAAGCCCGGCAGTACTCCATCTGAGATCTGGTAAGATCCAAAACGCTTTTCCCTTCTGAGCTTCAAGAAGAAAAGTAAGTCAGTGGTGACTCTGAAATTGGAACTTAGGGCAAAGCACTGGGGACTTGGAGATAGTCCTGGCTCAGCCTCTTCCCTTTTCTTGTAAAACAGCAGTAGGTATGTAGACTGTTCTCCCGTGCTGTCCACCAGCAAGTATGGTGTGTTTTACCTGAAACCAGGGGCCTCTGCATCTCTTTCTTTCTTGGTAAGTCCTGTTTGAATGTGTTGAAACAAACATTTATCTAGAACCAGTGCTTTAAACACTAGAACCCATCATGGAGGACAGAGGGAAGGGAAAGGCAGATGGCACCACACCCCTTGTCTTCTAGCTGGAGCAGCTGTACTTGAGAGCATTGGATGTTGGGTTTCCATGTAAGAGTTCATTGTAGGAAATCAGAAACCTAGGAGTCCTTCTTTCTTTCTTTCTTTCTTTCTTTCTTTCTTTCTTTCTTTTCTTTCTTTCTTTCTTTCTTTCTTTTCTTTTCCTTCCTTCCTTCCTTCCTCCCTTCCTCCCTCCCTCACTCCCTTCCTTCCTCCCTCCCTTCCTTCCTCCCTCCCTTCCTTCTTTTTTTTTTTTTTTTTTTTTTTTTTTTTTACTATGTAGCCCCGGCTGGCCTAGAACTCACAAAGATCTGCCTGCCTCTGCCTTCTGAGTGCTGGGGTTAAAGGCATGTGCCACCACACCAGACTTTTTATCTTTTAAAAAAATTTTTCTTTTTACATTTGTGTGTATCTGTGTATATGTATATGTATGGGCACATGCATGCCATGGCGTGTGTGTGGAGGTCAGAGGAAGAACTTGCAAAAGTCAGTTTTCTCCCTCTACCATGCTCCAGTTGTCAGGCTTGGCCACAAGCGCCTTTACCCCTGAGCCATCTTTCCGGCCCCTGGGAGCTTTCTTAATTGTGCCTTTCTTCATGTCTTCTTGCCTCTCTGAGCATTAGCATTCGAGGGAAAGGACTGCATCTTGTCTTTGTCATGATGCAGTTACCACATAGGTGTTTAACACTTGCTGATTTGGATACGCTGAAGGATTTCACTTCAAAGGTCCCTGGGACCTCTTCCTCCTGGAAAGTTTATGAAATCCTGACCTGATAACCTACTAAAGTTACCTACAAAGACTGTTTAGGAACCAGTGATTCTATTCCCAAATATAAATGTATATTAATATATTCCTAAGAAATAAATGCATATATTCTCCAAATGACAGGCACAAGCATGTCTATAGCAGATTAATTCATCATAGCCAGAGCAACCCAAATGCCTATGAAAGGAAAAAGATACATAATTTGCAGTGTATCTATACTGCAGAATTAATTCTATGTGACAGAAAAAGCAAAGAACGTGATACTGAATATTGGTGAATGGAACAATACAGACATTAATCTGCCAGAAGTCAGAATGTTAGCTCTGGAAGTGATGTTGCCTGGGAATGGGCGTGAGGCCAGCACTGAATGTTCTACCTCTTTAACTTGTGTGGGGGGGGGGGGGGAACTGCAGGTGGATTCTTAGAGATGTCCATTTGATGTGTATACTTTACTGTATCTATAGTTTAAAAAAAATGCCCTGATCATCCTAGAACAGAGCACTGTGGCTCTGTGGGAGGAGTTGTGTCATATTGAAAGACTTAAGTTACCTGTCCTTTCACAGAAACAAAAGGAGTCAGGAGAGTTTGAAGAGATTCTGGACTTCAATATGAACTTAGAGACTCCTAATGGGACCCCAGTATCAATAACTCAGGCCAAACCTGAATCTGGTCAGTGAGAACGGAAAGACCAAACGAGCTCTGAGATGACTTAGGGGAGGCTGGTGGCTCCAAGGCCTGAGGCCTAGCTCTCTAACGCTGTCATTTTTCCCTTAAAATGGCAGAGTCGTCATTTCTGTGTGCCAGCTCGGATGGAATGCTGTGGAAACTGGGTGAATGCAGCCCAGAAGGAGAATGGACCTCAGGTAACATCTGGCAGAAAAAAGCAAAAATACCTAAAACTCATGCTCTAGACATGGATCCATGTCTGCACTCACAGTCAGATCTCAGCACGGAGAGCTGGCCAGAACGCCCACATTTAAAGACACGTCAGCGTAAAAAGGTGAGCTTGGGGAAAGGGTCTCAAAGATAGGGTGGAGGCTCTTAAGTCTGACATAGCAGACTTGGATGCCCCTTTGATTGAAAGGTCTCCATGAGAACTCAACATGTTGTTCTTCCCTTCCTTTCTGAGATTCACTCGGGGCCAGTCACAGCCCTCCATGTGCTTCCTGAATTGCTGGTGACAGCCTCAACGGATAAAGATGTTAAGCTGTGGGAGAGGCCCAATATGCAACTGGTAAGTGTGGGCTTGTATGCATGCACTCAGGTGCAAGAAGCTGAGAAGGGGATGTTACAAGAAAATTAATTTGGGGTGAAAAAGAGGCAAAAGGTGGAAGTTTTCTTGAATCTCTTGCAGTGATCTGCTGCTTCTAAGTAAAAGGTATCAATGTGAAAGGAAGGTAAGTTAATAGGGCTACCTGCAGCCCTTACCTCCTCCATCTTTGTTCCCGATTTAGTTAGGCCTGTTCCGATGCGAGGGACCAGTGAGCTGCCTGGAACCTTGGCTGGGCCCTGACTCTACTCTGCGGCTTGCTGTGGGAGACACACAAGGAAATGTGTATTTTCTGTCCTGGGGATGAAAATGCACTAATCGGAGGAAAGATGGTATCACTTGTACTAGATGATGCAAAGCTTGAAGATACCAGTGTCTACATTCTCAAGGTTATAAAATAAAGTGTTGGAAGAGCTCAAGTGCAGCCTTGATTTTATTCTTTTCTTTTTCACCCAAGCCTCGGAGTTGCAATGTTAGACTGCACATGCAGTTTTCATACGAGGTGTCAGAAAGTAAAGCAACTCATCACTGGACTGATTGTATTCTTTAGTGGATTTGGACCAACAGGGAGGAAGTGGATGATCTAGTATGTTCTTTTCTGATTTAATATGCATTTGTATTAGAACTGAAAAAAAAAAAAAAAAGGAACCACATCTTTAGTAGGTACTCTTGGAAACCAGGGTTAGATTGTTACATCCTTGATGGCCTAACACCCAAAGTTCCATTATTACCAGGAGGAGGAATGAGAGTGGTGTTGGCCAGCACTTATTTTGAATAGACCCTCATTTGTTGAAGAAAGAAGGTGGTGCAAGCCTTTAATCCCAGCATAGGTAAGTGGGGGCAGCCTGGTCTACATAGTGAGTTCCAGACCAGCTGGGGCTACAGACAGATCTTGTCTCAAAAAAAAAAAAAAAAAAGAAAGAAAGAAAAAACCACAAGCAAGTGTGATTCAGCAGTCCTCCAAACATTTGGGAAGAAATGGGATATGCCTGGCAGAGTGCTAGGCTTCTCTCATAGACACAGCTCTCTTCTCTTCTCTTCTGTCCAGAGACAGAAGCCAAGACACAGTGAGTCTTGGCTTTCCACTTGACTTACAAGCATTCATTGATATAATAAATAGCATTCTTAGAAGGAAATACAAGCTGGGATTAAGGGCATGCACCATGACCGGTAGTGGCTTTTTCAACAGAGATTATTACAGAGTTACACCACTGGTCACACACAGAGATTCTCTGTGACTTGCCCAAGCCTAAGTGGCACATCTAGGATGTAACCTCTCCACCTAAGGCTCACGGAACATAGAACAAGGGATGAAAAGAACACTAATGCATGTTTCAGTTCTCATTAATGAAGCTCCCTCATGCAGTGGATGGCCAGGAACACAAAAGGCCGCAAATGGCCAACACATAAAATGAGAGTCATCAGAGTGTGGGTCCTTGGACAGGTCTCCTATATTGAGGTCCACCCATCCAGGGCTCAGGGACCATTGTGGAAGAGGGGGCAGAAAGATTGTAAGAGCCAGGGAGGAGGTGCACAACCATATGGAAACAGAGTCCTACAGCAACAGTGTCAGCATGCACAAGACCCTTGCAAACTTGGGCAGACAAAGCCCAGCACAGAACTGTGGAAATGAACAGTAATCTTAGTTGAAGAATTACTGGCAGCTGATTACTGCTGGGTGAGGAAGAGCTGATCTTGGAAAGAGACTCTAGATAGACTGACTAAACCCCAGTGGATGAACTTGCACTGAGGGACATCTCGGGACACTAACTTTACATAACAGGCCATAATACAAATGACAGAATGTATGAACTACAGGGGAGGGGGGCCTCTGGGAGGGTGCCAAAGGGGAAGGGGATATAAAGATGATTTTATGTAGGAAATACACAAAAATTCAATAAAAAAGAAAACACAAAAATTTATCTCTTTGGCTCAGCGGTTAAGAGCACTGACTGCTCTTGCAGAGGACCCGGGTTCGATTTCCAGCACCTACATGGCAGCCACGAACCATCCTTAACTCCAGTTCCAGAGGAGTCCAATGCCCTCTTCTGACTTCCATGGCATAGCACGACACAGGTACACTCACATACATGCAGGCAATACACTCATAAAAATAATATATTTTAAAAAACTTTATCTCTCAAATTGACACTCATAAAGCTTAAACCATATTGATATACTACTAATCATGCCCAGGGACTTACACTGACACTTATCTGTAAAAGTTTTTTTTTTTTTTTCTCCTTTGACACAGCGTCTCACTACGTAGCCCTGGCTGGCCAGGAACTCTATGTAGACCACACTGACCTTGAACTCACAGAAGTCTGCTGCCTCTGTCTCCCTGAGTACTAGGATTAAAGGGTATACCACCACACTTAGCTCTGTAAAAGTTTTTGTCAAGCATGGTGACATATGCCTGTAATCAATACTTGGGAGGCTGGGGAAGAATTATCTTGAGATTGATGCCATCCTGGCCAAGATGTAAGTTTCAGAATGCTACAGAGTGAGACTCTGTCTCAAAAAACAAAATAGGGTGCTGAAGAGATGGCTCAATGGTTAAGAACACTGTTGCTCTTATACCCACATGGCAGCTAAAAAACTGTCCCTACTTCCAGTTCTAGGGGACCTGATGCCTTCTTCTGGACTTCATGGGCATTGCACTGGACGTAGTACACTTACATGCAGGCAAAACACTAATACACATTAAAAAAAAAAAAAAAAAAAGGCAGGAGAGATGGCTCAGCAGTTAGGAGCACTGGCTATTCTTTCAGAAGTCCCAGTTTCAGCTCCCAGTACCCACATGGTAACTCACAACTGCCTGTAACTCCAGCACTGTACTCACATGCATAAACTCACATACAGATAGGCACTTACACATAATTTTAAAAAAATAAATTTTTTAAAATGAAGGGGCCAGTGAGTTGACTCAGTAGGTAAAAGTACTTGCTACCAACCTGAGTTTGATATCCAGGACCCACACAGCGGAAGAAGAGAGCTGATTCCTGCAAGCTGGCTTCTGACTTCCACAGGCACACACGCATGCACACATATACAAAGTGAAAAAAATCTGAACTTCGTTATTTTCCTAAAATTCTATCCTGTGGATCAGAGTGAGAGGGCTCTCCACCTAGCTTAGAGATCAAGTAATTGTTGGCATTAAATCTTTCACCTGGTAATAAAATTCACTCCCACTCATAATTTCATAAATGTTAGCAAGAAGTCACATGGTTGTACTAATGTTGAGGAGGGAGGGAAATTTAATTCTTCTGTGTCTGAACAGAAAATCAGGAAACAAAAACATGGACAACGGATATATCACCAAAGAATTTGCTGTATTGGTGCTTTTCTATGGAATGGTCCTTATTTATAACTTTTGGCTTTTTGAGACATATAGGGTCTCATATAGTCCAAGCTTGCCCTGAACTTGCTATGTAGCTGAGGATAACCTTGGACCTCTTATGCTTCCATCCTGTAAGGTGCTGGGATTACAAGTACAGTTATTCTTTCATGGTGCTAAGGTGTGAACTCAGGATTGCATACAGGCTAGATAAGTACTTGATCACTGAGCCATACTCCCGCCTCACACAGCTGGAGTTACAGGAGGTTGTGAGCCACCTAACGTGGGTCCTGGGAACCAAAGCTAAGTCCCCTGGCAAACAGTACACACTCTTAACCACTGAGCCCTCTCCAGCCCTCGGTACCATCTGAAGACTATTCTTTTCTCTATTCATGGTCTTGACATGTGTTTAGTTATTTTTCATGTTGCTATGACAATCACCTCACAAAAGCAGCTGAAGGAAGGAAGGATTGATTTCGGCTCATGGTTTTAGGGTACAGTCCATGGCAGTGGGGAAGTCCTGGCAGCAGTAGTGAGAGGTGGCTGGTCATATCACACCCGCAGTCGGAAAGCAGAGATGGACACCAGTGTTCCATACTTTGTGCTTTTAATTCAGTCAGTCCTGGACCCCAGCCTGTGGTATGATGCTGCCCACAGTCTGGGCAGGTTGTCACCATCAGCTGAACCTCTGTGGCCTATAGCAGGTAACCAAAGCTGCTGTACGAGTTCATGAGGCCAACAGCCATGTCATGCTCAGAAGATAAGTACGTCAGAGTTCTCCTCACCTGCCTCGTACATTCTTTCCACACCTTCTTCTGAAATGTAATCTGAGCTTTTGAGAGGCACATCTGGTTGTTTTGTTTAATTAATTAATTTATTTTGAGTCAAGGCCTCCCTGTAGCCCCAGCTTGTCTGGAACTCACTATATATAGACCTGACTGGCCTCAATCTCAGAGATCTGTCTGATTCTTCCTCCTAAATGCTAGAATTAAAGGCATGTGCTACCAGGCCCAGTTTATTTTTTTTCCAATATGTTTTTATTGAATTTTTGTGCCTTTCATACAAGACACCTTAATCATATTTAGACCGCGTCCCCTAACTGAAACTCCCATTGCCCTCCCCACCAGACTTCATGCATTGAATTTATTTTTATTTTATATGTACGTTTTGCCTGCATGTATGTAAGTGCACCTGTATAGTGCAATGCTGATGGAGGCCAGAAGAGGGTGTCAGATCCCCTAGAACTGGAGTTATGGATGATTGTTAGCTACCATGTGGGTGCTGGGAACCAAACCTGGGTCCTCTGCAAGAGCAGATAGGGCTCTTAACTGCTGAGCCATCTCTCCAAGCCCTGTTGTTTTCATTAAAACAACCTTTGGTAAGGGCCCATTTCAGATGCAGAAAGTGTACCTAGCATATGCAGGGCTTTGGGTTTCGTCATCTGAACCAAATAAATAATTTAAAAAACACAAAACCCCAACTTCATTGTTATTTAAGCAAGTGCTTTGTGTGGAGGTCCTAGAGGCAGGTGGAAGGAAGCATGGGCAGCCTGAGATGGTCTACATAATGAGAACCTGTCTCAAAAAACAAACCAAATCAGGAAAACAACAGTAATCAGGAGAGGCTGGACGGACATAGTGGTGCACACCTTTTAGTACTAGCACTCAGGAGGCAGAGGCAGGCAGATCTCTCTTAGGCCAGCTTGGTCTACTTAGGGAGTTCTAGACCAGACCACCCGGGGCTATATAGTGAGTTCTTTTGGATCTGACTGGTACTTTAATACTTTTTTTTTGAGACAGGGTCTTACTTTGTAGCTCTGACTAGCCTAGAACTCAAAGATTTGCTTGCCTCTGCCTCCTGAGTGCTGGGATTAAAGGTGTGTGCCCCAAATGGGGCATTTCAGTACCTCTTAGATGCAGCAAGGGCTATGAAAGATGGAAAAACTCTCCCTACTTCTGTTCTTCACCAAGATATATTTAGACTTAGGGACAGTCATCCAAAGACTTCCCAAATTATTGGACATTTCATGAGGATTAGATATTAGGATTAAGGCAAGATCAAGAGGATTTTGATGGGAAAATGTGTCTTTAGGGCCTATTCTAGTTTGCTTTCTGTTGCTGTGATAAACACTATAACCAAAGGTGACTTGGGGAGGAAAGGGTTTATTTCATCTTACACTTCACAGTCCATCATCAAGGGAAGCCATGACAGGAGCTCAAGGCAGGGACCTGGAGGCAGGAACAGAAGCTGGGACCATGAAGGGATGAACAGTGCTTACTGGCTGGTTTCCAGGCTCGTGTTCAGCTACCTCCTTATACAGTCCAGATCCACCTGCCTAAGGATGGTACTGCCCACAGTGGGTTGGGCCCTCCTACATCAATCAGCACAGACATGCCCATGGGCCTATTGGATGGAAGAAATTCCTCAATTCAGGTGCCCTCATCCTAGGTGTGTCAAGTTGACAATTGACACTATGACACAGCCTGCACTATTCCTATAGAAATATTTCGGACTCCAATTTGCAGAAAAATTGAATTTAACAGGGAAAAGCATTGGCTTTCATGAGTGTCCTTTAATGCAGGGCTATTACACTATGAGAGAACAGAAATCTGAAGAGAACCTGTCACCAGCTGTGGGGTACACAGCACAATGGTGTGCTGGATAGCTTTAGCATCAACTTGACACACCTGGTTTGAGGGATCCTTAATTGGGGAATTTCCCCTATTGCATTGGCCTGTGGCCGTGTCTGTGGGGTATCTTCTTGATTGCTGAGTGATGTGGAAGGGCCCAGCCCATTGCAGGTGGTGCCATCCCTGGGCAGGTGGTCCTGTGTTGTATAGGAAAGCAGGCTGAGCAGGGGCCAGGGGAGCAAGTCAGTAAGCAGCATTCCTCCATGGCCTGTGCTCCAGATCCTGCCTCGAAGTTCCTACCTTGGGCTCCCTGAAGAACTGTGACCCAGGAGATGTAAGCCAAATAAACCCTTTCCTCCCCAAGTTGGTAGTGGTCAGAGTGTTTTTGTCATTGCAATGGAAAACGAACTAGAATAAATGGGTACTTTCTGTTCTGGAAATGAAGACATATGGCAGGTCGGGGGCTGAGGAGATGACTCAGCAGGTAAGAATACTTGCCATGCAAACATGAAGACCCCAGTTTAAATCCCCAGAATCCACATAAAAAGCTGGGTGTGGCTGCATGCATCTGTGCTTTGTGGTGCAAAGACAGGACTGTTGGGCTTGCTGGCTACCAACCTAGCTCCAGAGTCAGTGAGAGACCTTGTCTCAGGAGAATAACACAAAGCTTGATGGAGCTGGACACCAATGCCCTCCTCTCAATAAGAGAAGTAAAGTCCAAAAAAGACAGGGGTAGATTTATAGTATTTTATTGCCCAGGCTGGAGAGATGGCTGAGCAGTTACAGGCACTGGCTGCTCTTGCAGAGGACCCAGGTTTGGTTCCCAGCACCCACACAGTGGCTAACAACCGTCTGTTATTCCCGTTTCAGGAGATCTGACGCCCTCCTCTGGCCTCCACCGACACTGCATGACACATATTTAAGTGCACTTACATATAGGCAGGTATAGCATTCATACACATAAAAAATAAGTTAGTAAAGTTTTAAAATATTTTATTACCCCAAATGTTAAAGAGTTCAAAAACAGAACATTTCTTTTTTTTTTTTTTTTTTGCCTTAAAGAGTGTATCTTCCCTGGTTTACTGAACATCAACATTCACCACAGTTGCAGGAAGTTAAATTGAACCTTTAGAAGGTATCGCATATGGACCTGGTTGGGGCTATAGACAATAAACTCATTGTAGTTGAGGGTATAACCTTCTGGATTCAGAATTCCTGTGTCACTTGCTGGTCCTATGGGCACTGTACTCCCATTCCTGACAAATGGAAGAAAATGTGTAAACATCAGTTATTTGGTCCAGAATTGGAATGGGAGCAGTCTTAGCAGTTCAAAAGAACTGAGTACTTACAGGGTGATGAAGTGGGTAGGGCTAGGAGCCATCTTGCCCAGCCCCTTGGTGCTGTGTTTTCCCTGAAGTAAACCTTCTGCCTTTGGATTGGCTTCTAGTAGCTCATTACACTGACCTAGAGCCACCTGCAAAGTAAGAGATCCCTGAATGCTTCTACCCTGTTGAGAATCAGGTGGCTTTAAAGCCAACCCCCAGAACCTTCCTATTTGTATTTTATTCCTTTCCTCTAGCAAAAGGATCAAATGCAACGGAAATTCCGTTCCTCTCCCTTCAACTCATTCCACATGAACCTTTTGGTTCTGAAGTCAAAATTTCTCAGTGGAAAAAATTAACAATAAGGCAGAGATTAGAGATGTGTTCCGGCCTTACCTCTGATAATAGCAGCAGTCCTGTATTCTTCAGACGAGAGGCGAAACAGTAATTGGCACTCTTGGAAGACATGTCAGCAAAGTAGATTCCTTTCCCAAACTGAAAACAATCAAAAATTTAGATTAGCTGCTTCATCCATTATATTAGAAGACTCATACCACTGACCGTGGTTTTCTGTTCTCATAAACACAACATGGTTCCTTGTCCACTGTCCTTTCTAAGTTTGTTCAAGTGATAAAACATCCATGAGCCTCTGCCTTTGGGGGAAATAGACATATCTTTTAGAATTAAAAAAAAAAAAAGAGTGACACAGTAAGAGATGATGGGGTTTAATTCCTGGGGAGAAGTAGCATCTAATCCTAATCTGGGGGACACCAAAAGCTTTATGGTATCCTTTTCCCCATGTACTCCTCCAGCATTCAGTTTCTACTTACCATGTAACCAGTGATTGGAGCCTCAGGTGGGGCAATTCGCAGCCCGTGGCTCAGGATTCCCACCCAGTTACTCAGCCTGGAACCATGCCAGAGGAGCATCCTACAAAAGAGCTCTGCTGCTATCATGCAAACACAGGTCATACACACAATAACGCAACAGCTACCTCTGCCACCCGCCAAGCTCCTTCACTGCACTTCAGGCAAGGACATGTTTACCAAAGCTAGGAAAGAACATATAACCCAAAGCTAGACTCAGACCTGTTAGGAAGGTCCTCTCTGAAGGCCTCTTTCTCCCCCTCCTTCTCTACTTCAAAAACATCCAGTAAGGTCATAGTATAGTCATTGTGTGTAGGAGCATGGGTAGACTGCAGGTACCGAGAAATCACCTGGGGAAAGAATGAAGAAACATCAAGTGCGGAGCCCTTAAGAAACGGGACTAACTAAAGGATGCAAGGCTTCTGATGTAACTTGGCAGAACTTTTTGCTCCCGAACAGCCTCGCAAAGCAGTTATAAAGAGTTCTATATTCCCAGTTCCAGGTAAATACAGAGATGAGGGAGGATAGGTTTTACAGGAATAAGACTATAAAAATAAACAGCTATTTTTCCTACTTTGAACTCATAACTTTCATGGTCTAGAGGGTGCAAAGCACAGCGTAGGTTTCTATAGTGTTGGTCCAGTGGGTGTTCTGGGCTTTGGTGCTCCGTCTTCACCAGTTTAAGAGCAATTTCAATGTCTCCCAAAGCCTAAGATAAAAGATACATCATCAGGGTGAGAGGGAACTCTGATAAGAGACGGAAAATGCCCCAGTGGTCCACAGCTCACCTCCAGCAGTTGTACTTTGTCTGACAGTTCTTTCTCTGTCCGGATTACTGGAGGGGTACGGAGTCTAAGGACAGAGACATAACTATAATGAGCCATCTGATTTATGGCTAGAAGGTGCATGACTGAAAGACAGGTCCTTTGGAAAATAGGTATTAGAAACTGGGATTTCCAATGCTTATATTTGTTCTTTTCATTAAAAAAAGAAATTAGCTGGGTGTGGTGGCTCACACCTTTAATCCCAGCACTCGGGAGGCAGAGGCAGAGGCAGGTGGATCTCTGTGAGTTCAAGGCCAGCCTGGTCTATGTAGTGAGTTCTAGGACAGCTGGTCTCAAAAAAACAAAAACAAACAAACAAACAAAAAAAAAAAAGGGAAGAAGAAAAAATTAGGATTTCCTATTTGAAAAAGAAACCCATAAAAAGACTTCAAGGCCCAAATGTATAAAGAGATATTAAATATTGGGATAGAATAAAACTTTTTCACATTAGGAACTAGAGTTGAAATTCTTTTTTTAAAAAATATTTTATTTATTCTTTTTATTTTATGTGTATGAGTGTATTGCCTGCATGTATGTGAGTGTACCCGTGTGGTGCAATTCCCACGGAGGACAGAAGAGGCTGTTGGATCCCCTGGAACTGGATGGACAGTTGTTAGCTGCCATGTGGGTGCTGGGATTCAAACCTGGTCTTCTGCAAGAACAACCAGTGTTCTTAACCACTGAGCCATCTCTCCAGCCCCAATGATCTATATTTTTAAAAATTAATTAATTAGCCGGACGTGGTGGCACACGCCTTTAATCCCAGCACTTGGGAGGCAGAGGCAGGTGGATCTTTGTGAGTTCGAGGCCAGCCTGGTCTACATAGTGAGTTCCAGGACAGCTGGGGCTACAAGGAGACCCTTTCTCAAAAAAGACAAAAAAAAAAAAAAAATTAACTTTCTTGAGTCAGGGCCCAAGGTGGCCTCAAACTTTCTATGTAGTCAAGCCTGGCCTCCTGAGTGCTGATTACATATTTTTAATTGATTTCTAATCTAATCCGATTATACGGGCTGTCTAGAAATCATATCGGACCTGCTTTTCTTTAGGATGACAATTTCCTTAGGAATAAAAGATCAAAAGAGGCTCACAGATGCTGGAAGTTGCTGCAGGGAATATGGGTGAGTGGAAAAAGCAAGACAAGCACAGCCTTACCCAAAGTCATGTGGGATCCTGGTGTAAAATTCATTGCAGGCTTCAAGGAGAGCTCGGCCCTGTTGGCCAGCCCGAATACAATCCTCAATCTTCTTGAGAGACTGGTAGCCCGCCTTGATCTGTGCCAATGTCAGCTTTCCTGGAAGCACAGCCAGAGATTGGACTCTGAACTCAGGTCTCATCCCGAAACTGTACATAACTCTCAACTTTCAAAATAGTCCCGCTCTCTGAAACCCTCTCCAGTTTTCTTTGCTCAGCACTTTCAGTAAGCCTCAAATCATGACAGTGACATAACTGCTCAGTAAAGAACTAGGAAATATGGCTGGGTGTGGTGGTGCATGCCTTTAATCCCAGCACACTGGAGGCAGAAGCAGGCAGTTCTCTGTGAGACTGAGGCCAGCCTGATCTACATAGCAAGTTCCAGGGCTGCTGGGGTTATAGGGAAACCGTGTCTCAAAAAACAAAACACAAAAAACAAAAAAGAAGAAAAAAAAGGAGGAAAGAAAAAAGAACGGGAGCCGTGAAGAAGGAATGTGAACTACGGGGCCGAGGCCGAGGTCCTACCAAGTGGGGCTTTCTTGGTGTCATACTTCATTTCAATCATCGTCTCCTCCATGGTCTGTACATTACAGATCAACTTTATCAGTTCCTGCACCCGAAGATCCAGCTGTGACTCTGGTTTCAAGGTTTCAGGAGATTCCCCTTGTTTTGTATCTTTATCCTATAGCAAAATAAACTCTTAAAATCTGAAAGGATCTATTCTGAGTGCCTGTAAAGAAGGCTCTTCAGTGATCATCTGTCTTAAAACAGCAGTATTCTAGTGTTCTGCTAGTATCTAGTTAGAGTAGCCAATGTGACCTCCACCCCCACGGGCTAGTTCTGCCTCTCACTGTCACAAGCACTCAATTATAAAAGGCCCTCCTCATAATGTTTTCAAGTACGGAAACAGCCATTGCACCTCAAATCATCATCATTATCATCATCACCATAATCAAAATAAGACTAAAAATTTTCCCATTTTCAGATATATGAATTTTTAGGAAAGTTTACAGCATGCTGGAAAGCTCAGTTTGTCAGAATTAATAAATCATTAGTGCGTGTGGTACTGGGTATTGAAACCAGGGCCTCCTGCACGCTGGGCAAGCATCCTATTTCTGACTCCAGCCTTTTTCTTTACTGTGGAGTAGAAGAAGGGAAGACAGCTTTAAATACACTTTTCTCAGTTTGATTATCTGTTATTCCTCTCTTGGTCTGTTAACACTGAACTTCTGGGCAAGGCCTCAGATTTCATAAGAACTCTAGTTTGTAACAGCAGAAACTAGAAAAGCACATTCTGGCTTCTAGCTCTTTGAGAACAAAGGTAATTGAGAGTGTTACCCCAGGGTGGGCAACAAAAGTGACTCCAAGTAACACAGTCCATCCTGGCTTGGTCCAGTCTGTGCCATTTGACAGACTTCATCGTGATCTAGAAGACACAGCTTTCTTGCAAAGGTGCAGTCAGCTTACCTGCGTAGTAGCAGCATAGTCCATCTGTATCATATCATACTTTCCAGGAACTTTCTCAAACTTCTCACGATCCTCCCAACTGTTCTTTGTTTTGTCAAGGAATCTGTGGAGCCCAAAGTGGTGAGAGAGCCTTACAAATAATGGAGGACTACCAGAGATGGGCTTGTAACAATTTCCTTACAAAAGTTCTAAGAAAGTCATGACCCCTTCATAGGGCTCAGTCACATGTCAATATTCCATGTGTGATTCCAAATCAGGTACTGAATAAAGACAAAAACTGGGACAAAGGCACTAAAGAAAACTGGGAATGAAGAATCCTTGGGCTTCCCAAAGGTCTCCAAACACAAAAGCCACTGATAATTGAAATAAAAAGTATATAACCACTTTCTTTCCCAGAAAAACAGGTTCCCAAAGATTCCAGAAAATTCTTCATCAAAATCACAATGACAAGTTTAAAGCTAGCTGGACATTCTCTAGTGTCCTAATTTCTCAGATTTGCTTGCTGTGTTCAAAATATATTAGATTCTTCCAGTCAACATCAAAGTTCTAGGTTGACTTAGTCACTAATGATGCAGTTTGATACTCTAAATCACAGGCTATCAGAATAGAAAGAAATTAACATTTAGGCCAAATCACCCTGACATGAAACTTTTTACTAAGAGTGATGCAGGAAGAGTATTTTTAAACTTATTTCTTAGCACTCACTTTTTCTGAAAGATTTCCTTTGCCTTGCTGAGGTCACCAGAACAAGCCACCAAGCTGTGCTGGCCCGTTTTCCCAACTGTAAAGTAAATGCCACACATAGGATGGTTCCTTGCCCTGTACCCCAAGTACAGTCCTTTACTAGTAAAAAGCCATCTCGCTAAGGTCTCTGCTCATCATCTGACTAATGGATAGGAAGTGGGGAGGTAAATGGGAAAGGGCTTAGGGAACTGATCATGCTGATACAAGGTCCTGCTAACTGCCTGAGCCTATGAGTAGTACCAGCATTCAATGGAGGGAGAATTCTCAACCTTACAAGGCTTCTAATGAGGATGCCTGCCATTCCCCAACTGCAAACCTAAGCCCCTTATGGACTTTGAGCCTCTACCACACAAACCCATCATTACCTCGGCCCCACCTCATCCAAACACTGAAGTTCCTCTGGGCGTCGTCTTCTAACAGCTGAATGAGATAGTACTTGTTGTTGTTGAACTGGAGATTGGTCTGTGATGAGTAGGAGAAATAAAGAACATAAAAGTGGAAGTTTTACAACTGAAAGTCACACAAACCAACGATTCTTCCTTGGATAAAGCTATCAAGTAACTGCCACGAACACAAACAGTAGCATGATGAAAACCATGAGACTCCTATAAGGATAAGGGCATAAATATGTGCTTAACTTCAGAGGCTTAAGTATTAAAGTCAGATTTTGAAAATTTCCCAAGCCTAGCCCCAGCACCCTACTTTAATTGGATCCTCTTGACAGCTCCTTCCATAGATACCTTCTAGGTTAGCTGTGTGTTTCTACTCTTAAGTCGCACCCAATAGTTTCCCAAATGAAAGCAGTATTTGTGTTCCATAGCCACAACCATCATGCTTATTTATTTAGATGACTTCACACTCTGACAAGTCTTAGAGGTTTGGTTTGTCAGCTGCAAATATTTGAATGAGCCAAAGACAGCACACTGTTACGAGGGAGCGATGGCAAAGTGAAAATCATGACTGCATCTGCCCCAGCCCTCCTTTGACGTGGCCCAACTTGAAGATATTCAGAGAACACGGCAAGTATTTAAAAAGAGATACTGAGGACTGAAGAGATGGCTTGGTGGTTAACAGCACTGGCTGCTTTTGCAGAGTACCTGGGTTCAGTTCCCAGCACCCACATGGTGATTAACAAACACCTGAAACTCCAGTTTCGGGGAACTGATACCTTCTTTTGGCCTCTGAGGGCACTAGGCACAAACATGGTACGCTTCTATACATACAAGCAAAACACTCATATACACAAAATAAAGAAATCTTTTTTTTTTTGGCCTTTTGAGACAGGGTCTCCCTGTAGCCCCAGCTGTCCTGGAACTCACTATGTGGACCAGGCTGGCCTTGAACTCACAAAGATCTGCCTGCCTCTGCCTCCCAACTGCTGGGATTAAAGGCGTGCACCACCACACCTAGCTTAAAATAAATAAATCTTAGAAAAAAAAGTTGAGTGTGGTGTTGCATGCCTTTGATCCCAGCACGAAGGATAAAAATCCCAGGCAGGTGGAGCTCTGTGAGTTTGAGGCCAGCCTGGTCTACATAGTGAGTTCCAGGCCAGTTGGGGCTACAGGGGGACCCTGTCTCAAAAAGACCAAAAAAAAAGAGAAAAAGCCTTGGGTGGAGGGAGGGGGAATTAGCCAAGCATGATAGTGCAAATCTGTACTTCCAGCCCTCAGATAGCTGAGACAGCAGGATTATTGTTAATCTGAGGCCAACCAGGGCTATAGCGTAACTGCCAGGCCAGTAAGGGCTATATAGTAAGACCTCAAAAAGCAGGGCCTAAGAAGTGGCGAGAACTGATGTCACAAAGCTGATCTCTGATTTCTATACATGTGCCATGCTTCCTGTGCCCCTCCCCCATGACATCATATACACATACAATAATAATAAAATTTTTAATTAAAAAATTTAACTACAGGGGCTGGAGAGATGGCTCAGCGGTTAAGAGCACTGACTACTCTTGCAGAGGACCCAGGTTCGATTCCCAGCACCCAGATGGCTAACTCCAGTTCCAGGGGAATACGAAGCCCTCTTCTGACCTCCGAGGCATTGTACGACAAGGGTGCACTCACATACATGCAGGCAATACACTTATACACATAAAATAAAAATTTTTTTAATTGAAAATATTTAATTTTGTGTATGTGTGTATGCTTGAGTGTTTGTATGTGTACCACATGCATGCAGGAGCCTGTGGAAAACAGAAAAGCTACATAGTGAATTCCAGGACAGCTGGGGCTACAGGGAGACCCTGTCTCAAAAACACCCCCCCCAAATTTAACTACATACAAGTTTAAAATGTCAATATGAACTGGGTGAGGTACTGTACCTCTGTAATCCCCAAGTTCTACTGAGAAAAAAGCAGGGGGCTTGCAAGTTCCAGGCCAGCCTGGGCTATAAGGTGGGACTCTGAGGAGTCCCTGCTGCCAAGCCTGATGACCTGAGTTCAATCATGGGGCTCACATGATGGAAAGAAGGAGAGAACCAATTCTCTCAAGTTGTCTTCTGCCCTCCACACATTTTCCATGGCACATGCATGCCCCCCCCACATTAATTAATAAAAAGAAATTCCCGTAAGTAGAATGGCTTCTAGTCTTACCTGATTTAGCATGACATCATAGACATCATCCCCTTCACAATATACATGTGCCTAGAAGGAGAGAGGAAACAAATGACCCGGTGCACTCCAAGTCCTGGGGTCAAAGTGAGGCCTGTCTTAAGCCTTAGCTTCCTTCATACAGCCTGTCACTACTATGACTAAAACACAGTCTTCTAGTTACAGTAGCCCCCAAGAAACCTGTCCATAAGTAGCCTTTCTTCAGATCCTTCAAGTCCTTTCCCCATTCCTCAGTAACTCATGCCATTCCAGGGCAATTTCTCATCAAACAATACAGTTCTCTCAACAGTCATAACATTTTTGGGGTGAGAAAGAAAATGAGTTGTGGAAGGCTGATGGCAACCCCCAGGGGTAATCACGTTAACATTCTGCTAATTTCAAACCGTACCACTCCCACTTCTCAACTCTAGAGAAAAATCACTATAAAATTTTTAGAAAGCATTTCTAAAATGAATGTCAGCAGCATTCTAAACAGGAATTCTAATAGCAAAAGAATTCTCTTCTCTGGGAATCAATGGGCGGAGAATCCATTCCCAATGCTCTTACCTTTCCCACCTTGGCTGTACACTCTGGGTCCACAGGAGCTTTGCCCTTTAACAGCAAGGCCTTCACTGATTCTGAGGGGACATAAATACGCACTATAATTACCTACATGGGAATCAAAAGCAGCTGTTGCCAGTTGTGGTGGCAGTAAGATATGCTGAAGAGGCGGAGGCGGCCAGAGGATCCCAAGCTGGAAGTCCCAGGCTAGCTAGGACTGCGTACTGAGACCTTTCCTAATTAACTTTGCCCTTGCTGAGCAATCCAGGTCTTCTGCTAGGTCTTAGGTCCCAATCTATCTCAGAAATTAAGATTCAGCAAAGTAGATTGGTAGTGCTGAATGCTCAAATGATAGAGAAGTTAATTATACCCCCAAGGATGGATGAAACAAAAGTTGCAAGAACAAGTATCATTCTACTTCCTTCCCCCGACCCCCAAATTGCTGGCCAGACCTCCCTGGCCTGCTACCTCGTGAGTCTTCAGTCTTGTCCTTACCCTTCAAGACAGCTGCAGGCCTCTTTCTTACTCCCTCTCTCTGGCGTGTGTGCATCTTCTTAGCTGGAGGAGAGTCTTCTGCAGTTCTGTTGCCATTAGTAATTTTCTTGGTCTTATTTGGCACAGCAGACGCTAAAGGCAAGAACAATGAGCAAAGAGGAACGAGTACACAATGAACATGATCCAATACTAAGAAAAAAGGCAGGAAAGTTTGAGGCACAGAGGAAGGAAAAGAAGCCCCTGATCTGGCTGGAGCAAGCAAGAATTCCAGCACAGTTAGCATTTGCTGTCAAGGTTGTCCACAGAGACAATGCTCCTTTTTTAAAGGTTAAAATAGTAGCTAGTTGAGTGTGGAGTTGCACCTTTAATCCCAGCACTTGGGAGGCAGAGGCAGGTAGATCTCTGTGAGTTCAAGGCCAGCCTGGGGCTACAGGGAGACCCTGTCTCAAAAAGCCACAAAAAGAGACTACTTTAATGCAGATGATATTTATGTCACTGCTTTAAAAAAACAAAACAAAAAAACCATTTATCTAGCAGATGATAAAATAGCAAAACAGGCAACTTTTCTCATGGAGAACATTTGAATTTATGAGAGAGATGTATTCATCCAACTCATCAACGTAATCTTTGACTATTTGTTTACAGTGAAAATATCCTACCTTGCTACATCCCCCATAATGTAGACTTTTACCAACTGTAATTTTGTCAGATGCTCTGGAACTACCCTGAGACTACTACCCGAAGCAACCCTTTGGAGCTAAAAACTTCAGAAATCAGAAATCGTACCATTTGTATCATAAAGACAATGAAGTGGTTGCCCGAAGCCTGCATCTAGACACCTTTTTCTTTTAAGACTTGTGCTTAAAACTTCTGTTAAAATCACTTTTAATCTCCAACTCTGCTTCATCCTGGTTCCTCCTGAAATTCTTTTCTGTCTTAAAGCCAAGAATTCTGGGTTTGCCTGAGTGTGGTCGGGGAAAAGATCTGATTGCTTCAGGAGCAACTGAGCCTCTCCAGTTTGGCTGACAAAACCTTTTAAAGAAATGACTTAAGGGGGATTTAGTAAATTTACAAATTAAAAACGGCCACATCGTTATTCTTGGCCCAGTCTGAGCAATCCTTCCTAAATTGCTGTTCAGGCCATACATTAATGAAGACTTACAGAGGTCTCTGAAGTCCACAGCTGGAGGCATGGGTCTCATGTCTGCCTCTCTCTGGTTTTCTCTTCCACACCTACATTGGAACTACCTGAGGTGATCATGGCTAGGTATGTGCTCTGTGCCTAGCTGACAGCCAGCTTTGTTTCTTGTAGCTGCAAAACCTTGAAATCCTTTGCACCACTCAGTTATCCCAAATGTAAAGTTGACAGCAATAGCACCTAATGCATAGGGTAGATCTATGCATTTAAGAACATAATATGCAGTTGACATCCAGCAACTGTAACATTCGAATTTTACTTTCTGAAGGCGGATGCATCCTTAAGGATGACTTATAGGCACTGAATCACTTTACCGTGAGCGTTCATCCTCTCCTAGTGCTACATGCAACGAGGATGACGGTTTTTGAATGACATTAGGTATTAAGAGGACTGCAGGATATTCGCGGGCACAGGTCCACTCGCCTTTCCGGATTAAACCGCACTATGAACGCAAGTCAAGGCACTAGGAGCTGAAGGGAGGGCAGACCCGAGGCCCCAGGTACCGCTCCCACCTCGCCTTCCGCAGCCGGAGCCCCGCCGCCGCGCCGCCATCGCGCTCGAGCGTGACGTCACCCAGCGCGGGGCCTCGGCTGGCGGGAACTCGCAGCACGCGTGCGCCCTGGCGAACCGCCGCCGCCGCCACATTTGCATAGCGCTGTGTCTTGTGGGAAGTCACCATCACTGTGAAATGCCGACCGTTCGGAGGCTTTATAAGTGCGGCCAGCCACACGCCCAGCTGGGCGGAGGGAAGCTCATCAGCGGGGCCACGCGCTGAGTGCCAGTCACTCCCCGGCCCCTGGGAAGGTCTGAGACTAGGGCCACGCGCGGCCCTAGCGGGGCCCTCCCCAAGTGGGGAGGTGAGTTCCCAGAGAGCAGGGCTCCGCGCGGGGGCCGACCGGGCAGGAGAGGCCGCGCTAGGCCGGCGGATGCCCCCCCCGCCGGAGCTTGGAACAGACTCACGGCCAGCCGGCGAGTTCAATGGCTGAGGTGAGGCACGCCGGCCTCATAACCCAATTCAGACTACTCTCCCACGCCTTTTTGACCCTTTTGTTATTGTTGTGCCATCTTTCTGAGGTGGGGGCCTCCCGGCGCCCGGCCTCCCTTCCAGTGCCCAGCGGCCTCCCCCCAGTGCCCAGATGGCCTGGAACTTAGAGACATCGCCTGCTGGAATTAAACTTCCGCCTGCCTCTGGAATTAAAGGCGCTGACTACTTAACGTTTTATCCATTAAGGAGAGATGGTTAAGAAGAGCACCGGCTGCTCCCTCAAAGGACCCAGGTTCAAATCACCGTAACTCCAGTTCCAGGGGACTGTGACCTCCGCAGGCATTGCACGACACGGGTGCACTCACGCGTATTCAGGAGATAAAAATAAAGTTTTTAAAAAAGTATGATGGAAGATAAAATAGGAAAGAATAGGCGCTAACGCCAAGGCCCGAGGAGGCCGGTGTGACCGGCTGCTCACCTATCCTTTCCCTTCACCTACCTGTACTTGTTCTGCTGACTTCCTTTAACCACAGGCCTTTGCACAGGCGCCTCCAGACTCCTGTTCTCCACCTGCTCTGCCTTTCCACCTAGCAAGATGGATCCTTAACTTCCTTCAATCTTGTTCAGATGCCCAGCTGATGTCTTCTCATCAGCAGTGCTACCTTCCCTGATCACCATTTTACCACGACTCGTGTAGCCTTTTAGCCTGCTTTATTTATTCCATGTTAATTACAATCTGGCATATACTTAATTTTAGACTGACTCCCTTCACTAGATGGTAAGCGCCAAGTGAACAAAGACTTGTTTTGTATAGTGCTGTGTGGCCAATAGTGGGAAGGTATCTTACTTTCAATGATGTTGGTTGAATGAAGCACTTATAAGATAGGCCCCATGTTCCACTCCCACCACTTCCCAAATAGCCTATTTTAAAATTTAATTTGATTTATTATTATTATTGTGTGTGTGTGTGTGTGAGAGTGACTTGGTGTGCATACAGAGGTCAGAGGACAACCTTCAGGAGTTGGGTCTTTCCCCTGGGTTCCAGGGACCCAACTCGGGTCATTGGGCTTTCAAAACAAAGGTGTTTACTTGGCTAAGTTCTCACTAGACCAGTCTATTAAAATTTTGAACTCATCAATGGATTAAAGCATGATGTAATCATCTCTAAAAACATTATTGACACATTCAAGATCTCCCTCTGTGGTTTTTTGAGACAAGGATTTTTTTTTTTTGTCTTTTTGAGCCAAGGTCTCCCTGTAGTCCTGGCTCACTATGCAAACCAGGCTTGAACTCACAGAGATCCTCCTGCCTCTGTCTTCTGAGTGTTGGGGCTAAAGGCGTGTGCCACCATGTCGGTCTGGAGACAAGATTTTTCTATATTGCCTGGCTTGGCCTCTAACTTGAGGCAATCCTACTTCAGCCTCCCCAGTGCTGGGATCACTAATGTATATTACAGACCCAGACTTCTAGGCAACCCTTTGAACATTTTTAGAATTGGGGTCTGGAGAGATGGTTCAGTAGGTAAGAGCACTAGCTGCTCTTACAGAGAACCCAGGTTCAATTCCCAGCGTTCACATGGTGGCTAACAACCATCTGTAACTCCACAAACATCTGTAACTCCAGTTCCAGAGGATCCAACACCTTCTTCCATGGGCATTGCACACTTACATACATGCAGGCAATACACTCATACACAACATTTTTCACAATTAAAAAATACTTTTTTAATTGAAAAAAAAATATTTTACGTAAGTGCACCACATGTGTGCAGTGCCCATAGAGATCACGAGAGGGAGTTGGATCCTCTGGAACTGGAGTTATGGATAGTTGTTAGCCACTGCCATATTGGTGCTGGGAACTGAACCCAGGTCCTCTGCAGGAGCAGCCAGTGCTCTTAACTGCTGAGCCATCTCTCCAGCCCCCTAGGCATCCCTTAATTCAATCAAGTTGACAGTGAAGATTGACTATCACAACTGGGGACTGAATTCTGATTTTACTATTTGCTGAGAAGACAATTTCTGTAAACTCTTGAACTATGTTTCCTTTCTTGGGTTATTATGGAAATTAAATTATATAAATATGATTTTTTTTTTGTCTTTTTTAAACAGGGTCTCCCTGTAGCCCCAGTTGTCCTGCCTCTGCCTCCCAAGTGCTGGGACTACAGGCATGTGCCACCATGCCTGGCTTTGTTTTGCTTTTTGAGACAAGGTCTCCATATGTAACCCTGGCTGGCCTGGAAAACCCTATGTAGAACAGGTTAGCCTAGAACTCATAGAAATTCACCTGCCTCTGCCTCCTGAGTGCTGGGATTAAAAGTGTGCAGCACTGCACCTGGTCATAAATAGGAATTTCTTAGCATCATTCCTAGTTTGTGGTAAATAATAAATTAAGTGATTTCTGCTGTTCCAAGTTCAATGAGAGACCCTGTCTAAAAAATTAATGTGGAGAGAGATTGAAGACACCTGGTGTGAACCTTTGGCCTCCATGTTCACCTGAACACACACATATGCACAGGAACATGCACACACATACCTCACATACACTGAAATGAAACAGGGTTACAATAAAGGAATTGGTTATGAAGCAAGTATTTGATGCTAAGTGTTCAGAAATATAGGAGTATTCAAGTTCTTCTGAAGGTGCTGGAATAGGGACACTGGTCTTTCCTTTTTTTCTTTCTTTAACAAGCTCTTGTGAGATAGCCTATGTGGGCCTGAAACTCATAGCTCTCCTGCCTCTCTACCCAAGTGCTGGGATTAAAGGCTTGTGCCCAGTGGGTATGGGCCTGTAGGGGAAAAGAACCCTGCCTCCATCCCTCCAGCCCATTTAGCTACTGCTCCTTTCCTGCCCTGGGGAACTGCATATAGATATTATGCAAAGGTTTCTAAATCCCTTCTTTTCTGTGTATTTTTTATTTATTTAAGAGGGTGGGGTTGCAGGTGAGAATCCCGCTACAATAAAGTTTGTTAATCTTTGGAGAAAAATAAGTATAAATAGATAATAAATAAATAAATAATAAAGGCTGTGTCAACATATCTGGGTTTGGATAGGAATCTCTAGTAAGGTGGGAGCAGAGTAGATAGGGTGAAATTGTCCAAAAGTATGAATTAGAATTATATGTGTTCATATAATATCTCAAATAATGATATTCTAAAACTTCGTACGTTATATTTTTTTGTGTATTCTGAATTTACCAATTTTTTTTTTTTTAACCTGGAATTCATTCTGTAGACCAGGCTGGCTTTGAACTCACAGAGATCCGCTTGCCTCTGCCTCTCAAGTGCTGGGATTAAAGGCGTGTGCCACCACGCCGCGCTAGAAGTACGCTTAATCACAATTTTGAGATTTCTGAGAATTCCTGGGAATACTGATTTATTGCCCCTGAATCTGAAATGTAACAAGCCAGGAGTCTGAAAACACAGAAGCTTGCCTTGATCACTGTTAGCGAATAAGCCTACTTTGGTTCAGACAAACAAACAAATAAACAGAAAACCAGCCTGGAGGGAGCTGCAGCAGGCAGGTCGGTACCTTTTAAAGAAGGGAGGAGGGGAGTCTCCTCGAACTCGTTAGCCAATCAGGCTGGGAGGCCACTTACTTAAGCCGCTTCCTGCCTCTCCACTTTCTCTCTCTGGCTTCTGGTGGGCTGGTGAGTGCGCACTTACCCTCCGTTTCTGAGTTTCTTTTGGAACGGTACACGGCGCGGGGCGGGGGGGGTGCGGATTTTGCACCATCAGCGCCAAGGAGTGTGTGAGGCGAGAGGCGATTGATTTCTGCTGGGTGGCGGTCGGGACGAGGCAGAAGATGGGCTGCCCCGCTGGTTCCCACGTGGGGCTCAGCCGTCCTGGGTTTGCCTGCGATTCTCCAGACCTGGTTGACCTTGAGACCGCAGGTGACACTTCAGGTACTGATCGCTGAATCCTGGGGGATCCTTGGCTTCGTCCTTGCGTCTTGGGCAAGGTACCGTTATCCCAGTGCGGTATTGCTCGAATCTGCCTTATAGCTGCCGGCCTGGGTAAGGGAGAGACCCCAGAGCATGAGTTCTGGCAGTGCATTCAGGTCTCCGGGGAGTGTCTGTGGGGATCAGGTCTTCGGATTTGGGGAGCTTTTGCCCACTGTGTTTGCAGTACTATTTACTCAGCCTTTCTGAGGCTAGATAGCCAATTCCGAGGACAGGTGATTTAGTGAGCCACTGTGGCAAGTGCGTCCTAAAAAGCTTAAGATACACGGAAAAGGACCTGGGTCCTCAGCTTAGTGCAAGCCTAGGTTCAGGTGGTAGGGCCAGTCTGCTGATAGTGCCCTGGTGACGCTGGAAGATGCCATGAGTCAGTTCGTGAAGGTCAGATGAAAATATAAAGGTGTGTAGTAAACGGTAACCGCTTTAGAAGTAAGATGTATGTGGTGGAGGTAGATACCCTACATCCAGCTCTGACCTCCATGTGGGTGCACAGTTGTGTTCACATGCATAAACACAAGAAATAACTTTAGGTAGGTAGAATACATTGTCCTCATTGTTAAGTAGGGAATGAAGCAAACTTGGGTCCCTTCCACTCGTTCTTTCTTGTTTTGGTCTTTTTGAGACAGGATCTCCCTATATCCCCAGCTGGCCTGGAGCTCATGTAGATCAGGCTGGCCTTGAACTCAGGTCTGCCTACCTCTGCCTCCCAGCTAAGGGTCTTTTATTTTCTTAAAAGACACTATTGCTGGGCATGGTGGTGTACACCTTTAATCCCAGCACTCAGTAAAGACACCGTATCTTGGAGTTAGAGGGCTTTTTTTTTGTTTTAGTGGATATTTTGTTTTGTTCTTTTGAGACAGGGTCTCCCTGTAGCCTCTGCTGGCCTGGAACTATGTAGACCAGGCTGGCCTTGATCTCACAGAGATCCTCCTGCCTCTGCCTTCCAAGTGCTGGGATTAAAGTAGTGTGCCACGAAGACTGGCTAGTTAGAGAGCTTTTATGAATGTTAGTGAACTATCTGGCTTCAGACTTCTTGGGAAAGTGAGTTTTTTCATGCAGAATGTCTGTTCCTAGTCTTAGTAAGTTGATCTTTCACAAGTAATAGAAACATTTAGCACCCTGCCAGCTTTAAAGTATATTTGCTATGTTATTTAATATTCAAAGAAATTCTAAGTGGGGAGGTATTAACTTGCATAACTGCTCAGCGGCAGAGCCCATATCTATGAGACCCACAATTCCAATGTAGTCTACCTGCCTTTACAATCCATTATCTGGCCTGGGGATGTAGCTCAATTGGTTGAATGCTTGCCTAGAATTCATGAAGCGCTGGTTTGATCCTCATCACAAACTTAGCAGCATCTGTAATCCTCACACTAGGTAGAGGCAGGAAGATGAGAAGTTCAAGGTCACCTTTGACTTCATAGTGAGTTCAAGGCCAGTTTGAGCTAATTGCAACTGTTATCTAAAGAAAAAAGACAATAGTAATCCCTTATGGTTTGTAAATTAGTGCAAGCATTACAAAAACCTATGGAAATTCCTCAGGAAATTCAAAGGTAGCATATGATCTCAATCTCACTACTGGTTGTCAATCCAGAGGAAATGACTGTTGGGGAGATCTATATTCCCATGTTCGTTAAGTGTTATTCACAATAGCTAAAATATAAAATTAACCTGCTTTCACTTGCAGAGTAATGTGCTATATTCAGTGGACTACCACTTAGCCTCGAAATAGAAGGCAATGTGCTTTGTGGCAACATGGATGAGCCTGGAGGGTGTTTTAAGTGAAATAAACCAAGCACAGAAAGACAATAAATCCTGCTCAAAGCAGAGAATGGAATGCTGATGCTGGGGCGGGGGGCCTTGAGAGGTTACAGAGGGGAGGAAGAAGCAACCCTGAAGATCTGTAGTACATGGTAATTATAGTAACACATGCTGTGTGCTCATATGATAAAAGACAGATAAGTGTGCTTACCACACACAAGTGATGAGTCATGGATATGTTGTGTATACATACATCAAACATTGTATACCACAAGATTATGCAATTTTTTTTTTTTTGTCTTTGAGACGGGGTTTCCCCGTAGCCCCAGCTGGCCTGGAACTCAACTATGTAGACCAGGCTGGCCTTGAACAGAGATTTGTCTGCCTCTTCCTCCCAAGTGCAGGGATTAGCAGGGATTAAAGGTGTTCACCACCAAGCCTGGCCAGATTATGAAATTTTTTACTTGTCAATTATACCTTAATAAAAGTGGGGGGACAATAATAAATAATTTTCTTTTTTTATATTTTATTTATTATTTTAATTTTATGTGAATGTGTATATTGTTTGCATGTATACAGACAGTTGTTAGCTGCCATATGGGTGCTGGGATTCGAACCTAGGTCTTCTGCAAGAACAGTCAGTGTTCTTAACTGCTGAGCCATCTCTCCGTCCCCACAATTCATTTTCTTAACCATGAAGCTTAGTTTTACTTTGCCATTTATTCTCTAAATCTTGCATCCACATCTGGGGCTGGTGAAATAGTTTGATGAGCTGTGTGTAGTCCACAATTCTGATCTTAGTGAGTGTACTACTGCTCTTAGAGGTTAAAATGAGTTTTCTTATCCCAAACAGCTGAGAGTGGGAAATCAAACTTTGAGTCTGTTCTGGTCCCAGTGCCTTATGAACTATCTAAAGTATTTTTCTTTTGTTTCAGGTTGAAGATGCCGGGCAGTAAGGGAAGACCTGGGTCTGCTGCACCCTGTGTGCTGGCCCAGAAGTGGTCCTGTGAAAACCCTGGAGGCCCCCTGAAAGTCCAGTGGGCATTCTCAAGAGGAAAGTTTGAAGGCTGAATGGAATCTCAAGTCAGGTATTCCATTTGAACTGTGAAGGCAGGTTCTCAAGTTTTGACCAAGATTTGCTGCCTTATGTTTTGGCGTTACACACACATGGGTACTGACTGAACTATATCCCTAGACTTCAGGATCTTGCTGAATTATTTAAGCTGTTTCTGAACTCTGCTGTCCCCCTCTCCAACCTCCTGAGTGGCTAGGATTACAGGTGTACTTAGCTGTCTCAGAATTTCCTGTTTCTCTCCTCTTCCCCCTCCCATCTCCTTCCCTCTTGCCATCTTCTTATGTGTTTTCTGTCTAAAAAGACGAACTGTAGAAACCTGATGCTGTATCTTGTATCTATAAGCATTCTAAAGCATCATTCAAGTGTAGGATAAGATAGATCAAATAACCCTTTGGTTATGTATCTCTGAGATACTTAAAACCACTTCAGTTTCTGACCTTGGAACCAGGGTATCATTCTCTCCGTCACAGCCTAAAGCAAACTATCTTTTCTCTGTCTGTTTCACAGACAGAATCATGTGACTTTAGGAAATTATGTAACTTATCTGATGTAGGAATTTCTATGTAAATATGGGGTTGCAAAGTTTGAATGAAATAATTTTTCTGTAGTGTTTAAGTGATGAGTGTTAAGTATGAATTTTTCTGATTTTTTTTTTTTTTTTTTTTTGAGACAGGGTTCTATGTAGTCCAGGCTGGCCTTGATATTCCTGCTTCTACCTCCCAAGTGTTTGCATTAAAAGCAAACCACCACACCTCTAACTATAGTAGGAATTTAAAGAATTTCTTCCTTTCTGTCAGCATCTTAGTCACACTAATCCTGATTTCCAATAGAATTTCCTGCAGTGATGGAATAGTTCTATATTCCTGTGGTCCAGTTTGGTGGTATGAAGTTATTGAGCAATTATTTGAGTATGACTCAGAAGTTTAATTTTGAGGTCTTGCTCTGTGGCCCTGGCTGGCCTAGAACTTGTTGATTCTCCTGCCTCTGCCTTCCAAGCACCATCATGTCTAACAAGTTTCATTTTGATTGAGTGATCATACATAATGAGTTGAGTACTTACTTGCCCTTTTCTTGTTCCTCAAGGCTTCCTTGACAAGCAATTCTTTTTGTTGTTTGGGATCTGAGGTCAGATTGACCTTGAACCTAAACTTTCTCAGCCTCTGGGATTATAGCTGTGAGCCACCATGCTGGGCAAGTAATTCTTTTCTATGCTTTACTTGTGTTTTACCATTTATTTGGTGTTTACCACTGATCTAGCAATAAGTTTAGATGTTAATTACATACAAAAATTTTCCAGCTAATAACTAGGTAAAGAATAGTGAAGGGTCTGAAGATTACTTACATTAATGAGCTTTACATCCAGCCTGTATTTTGGATTGCATGCAAGCCCCATGGTAGAGGAAATTAAAGCCCCCATATACTGCCACCTTGTGGCCAACTGGGGCTCCAAATGATATCTGTTTCTTTTTTGCTTAAGACAGGACTGCCAAGCATAAAAGTTAAATTCAGCCAGCATTGACTCAACTGAAATTAAAATACACTTGACCATTTTGGCTTTTCGATTTACTGGAACCTTATGAGTTCTTGGCTCCTTTTGTGTATTGTCCTTTGAGGTGTTTGTTTTTTATGACTTCAGGGATTGCTTAGCTTTAAACTAACAAAACTGGATTTGTGTAGTGCCCTAATTTGATGTTGTGCATGGGCATTTGATTACATTCTCCAAGTGTCAATGATTTATAGTTCAGACAAGTTCTTTTTTTATTTTTTTATTTTATATGTATGCATGTATTGCCTGATATGTAGGTAAGTGCACCCGTGTCATGCGATGCCAGCGGAGGACAGAAGAGGCTGTAGGATCCCCTGGGACTGGAGTTAAATGGATAGTTGTTAGCTGCCATGTGGGTGCTGGGATTTGAACCTGAGTCTTCTGCAAGAATAACCAGTGTTCTTAACCACTGAGCCATCTCTCCAGCCCCCTTGAGACAAATTCTTAACACGTAGCCCAAGCTGACCTTGAATTTACTATATTGATAAGCCTGACCTCAAATTTTCCATCCACCTCCTTTAGCTTCTTGAGGGTTGGGATTACAAGTGTCACCACCACATCTGGCTTTAAATTATATTGTAATGGTTCTTGCCTTTAATCCCAGCACTTGGAAGGCAGAAGCAGGCAGATCCCTGAGCTCAAGGCCAGCCTGGGGCTACAGGGAGACCCTGTCTCAAAATACCAAAAAAAAAAAAAAAGTGAAGTTACTTTAGTTTTCCTCAGGAAGTTATGTAATTATAACCTTTGTATATTTATTTTCCAGAGATGATAAGTAGTTGAGTCCTATACTGAAGTTGGATTCATTTGCTACCAGAGGTAAATATAAGAAAAACATTCATCTTTTCCTTGAAAAACCAGGATTACAATGTTCTTAGAGGCTAACATTTAGTAGTAGCAAAGGCCCTGAGGATTTCCTGGTTTAAGGACAGCATTGGTAGTTTGCCCTTCCCCAGCCATTTACAGTTTGCCATGATGAAATGCATGTTAAGTCCGTGTTTCAGCTGATTACCCTGATTAGACACATGCGCTGAGCAGACTAAACTTAGGGGCAAACACCTGAAATTGAATTCTGTGTGTTAAAATTCATACTAGGTTTTAGCCTATGATCCCAGGTAATTCTTTAAAGTAGGAATGTGATAGTATAATCGTTTTTGTGTGTCTTGATCTTTGCAATAATCCGAGATAAAACTATGGTCAAGATTAGTAGTCACTGGGCTATACAGATGGCTCAGTGGTTAAGAGCACTGTCTGTCTGCCTTTGCAGAGGACCCAGGTTTGATTCCCAGCATCTTTCATGTTGGCTAACAACCCTCTATTAACTCTAGTTCTAGGGGATCCAATGCCCTCTTCTGACCTGGGCATTGTGTGACATGGGTGCATTTACATGCAGGCAGTATACTCATACACATAAAATAATAATGTATTTTTAAAAAGATCCTTGATCACTTAAACACTACAGAAAAAGTTCTAGTAGCTGGTATAAGCCTGTCAGCTACTTAGTTTAACATTTTCAGACTTGCCTGGTGTCATGGCACATGCCTTTAATTGCAGCAGAGGTAGGTGGGTTTCTTGAGTTCAAGGCCAGCTTGGTCTACATTTCGAGTTTCAGGCCAGCTGGGTCTACAAAAAGACCAAAAAAAGTTTCAAATTCATCACTTTTATCAGTCTTTATGATTAGTTGTGCAGTACTATAAAGTTATGATTTTATGCCTATTGCAATGGGTTTCATGATTAAAAATGTCAGGGTACAATACAAGAAATATAAATAACTGAATGTAACATTAGCTTTTGAAATAATTTATCTTCTGCTGTCTTTGAAGAGAACAGAACTAGATCTGAACCTGGTTCCAGCCTGGATCCCTTCCTGCTCTAAATCCTGGTTGTAAAATAGATATGCTGCAATCTTTTATGGTAAGGCTTGAGACAGGTGCTTTGACATACACAAGAATCTTGTTTTATAATTTGCAGTCAGTTGCTAAGGTGCTATACATATTTTAGATTGTAAAATGTCAGGTCTTTAGAGATAGCCTAGTAGTAGAGTAATTATACACAGTAATTTTCAAGTCACACTGGTTTTAAATCCAGGTTCTAGCACTTAACCAGTTTTATAACCTTAGCAAGTTTCCTAGTATCTCAGTATTTTATTACTTATACTTATTATTGAGACAAGGACTCACTATAGATCTCCCTGGCTGGCCTGAAACTATGTAGACCACACTGGCCTTGAACTCACAGAGATCCCCCTTGCCTCTGCCTCCAAAGTGCTTGGATTAAAGGCAGGTGCCACCACACCCAGCTATCCTTGTAATCAGAAGTAGGGTAAGTTATTTTGAAGATGAACTGTGGGGCTTAGAACATTGTAAAGCATATGGTAGATATATTTTATATATATAGTATATATTATCAGAATCCATGTGGATATTTATTTTGGATTCTGTTACCTAGAATCTTCTGACATTTTGCATACTAGACTGTTGGAGAACTTTTAAAAAGTGCCAAATGGTCTACTTCGTATTGCCTGAACATCTGACTCCCTATATAACTGAATAACATTTTCTTAGTAGATTGATCTTGGTTTGGCATCAACTTGTCTTCCATCATTTTGTGGCTAAGTAACTCTTAATGGTCTTTGGGTTCTTATATCATGATCCCTGTCATATAAAGAATACCTTTTTATAAATGTTTCTTAATGTGGTTGGAGATGAACTGTGATAGCTGTTCCTCTTACTGCTTGGAGCCTAAGCAGTAGGATTTGGTCTATCATATACAAAGCTGGCTTGTCTTCACTCAGGGCACCATGAGGATAGGTGGGCTATCCACACTAGTGCCTTCTGATTTTTGCCAAGTCAAACAATTACAAGGCAGGCAAGGCATCTCTCCAGCCCTGTACTATTATAAGAGGCCATGTGGAATGACTACCAAAACAAACTACAAATGTGGGGCATAGATACATGTAAACAAGTTTATTGGTACTTAATAGAAAAGCTCGTATTTTATATGTAGCCTTACCAAGTACTTTTCATTGATAACCTACACATAACATTCAGATGGTCAAAATTATGGTGGTCAAAATTATGGTGGCACATCCTTGTTATCCTAGCACTTTGGTTCAGGGCTGACTGAGGAAGACCACAAATTTGAGGCTAGCCTGAGCTACTTTGATGAGACTGTCTCAAAAAATAAAAGGCCTTTCCTGTTTATAATTTGGTTATTTAGGGTATTTTGTCACAATCATAAAAGATGACCAATTCAGATGCTCTGAAGTTACTAAGTACATGGTTTTCAAAAATAATGGTTAACTTTTGGCTAGTTTTAAAATATGACTATTCCATGATTTTCAGGTTAGTTGGATTTTTGAAAAGTTTACTACTACTGCTGGTTGTAGTGGCATATTCCTGTATGTAGTCCCAGTACTTGGAAGGGGATTGAGAATCTGAGGCATCCTGAGCTGCATATAGTGAGACTCTTCCTCAACTCCTCCTCCCCTCCCAATTAGACTTTTTTGTGTTTTTTTGTTTTGTTTTGTTTTTTGGCAGGGTCTCCCTAGTCCCAACCCACCTGGAAGTCACTGCGTGGACCAGGCTGGCCTCGATCTCACAGGGATCTGCCTGCCTCTGTCTCATTGGCCACGACACCCTGAGTGAATTCTTTCCTGACTGGCCTGGAACACCCTATATAGACCAGGCTGTCCCCTACCTCCCCAGAGCTGGGATTAAAGGCACATGTGACCGTGCCTGACCAATAACATTGGATTTAAAGTGAATAATAAGAATTCTTAGAGAATGTATATAAATATTCCTAATATGAGCTGATGGGTACTTAGAAGTTGTGTCACATCTAAATATTCGCGGTCAAGTTGCAGTTTTGAAGGACGAAAAGTAACTTGAAATCAAAAGGTCTAAAAACTGGCAGGTTTTAGATAGTAAATGCCCTTGAAATCCTTCATGTGAAAACAACTGGAATAAATCATTAAAACAATACCTACACCATGTTTAATCTTCAAGGTGTCAGAAACGTTCTGTTAAAATTCTCAACTAGTTCCTAACAGGGTCACATCTGAAAAGCTGGCATTATGATTGATTTGCATCCAGAGCAAGCCTTCAAGACCTCCTTCCCAGTTTAAGTTCTGAAAGTTCATATTGATAAGTCAGAAAAACAGCTGCAAAAACACAAAAGGTCAAAGAGACTAAAACACATAACCGTTTATTTTATTTTTTGTCTTTAGCCCCAGCTGGTCTGGAACTCACTATGTAGACAATGCTGTCCTTGAACTCACAAGGATCTGCCTGCCTCTGCCTCCCAAGTGCAGGGATTAAAAGCCTGTGCCACCACACTGGGGCAGATATAACCATTTAAACACTACCAGCAAAGAAGACCACAATGTTCGGATACTTGTGGCTGGAGAGGGCCCGCTGCTCTTCCAGAGGACCAGAATTCTGCTCTCAGCACCCATGTCGGGGTTCATAAGCTCCTCTAACTATCTCCTCATCTAGATTCCTCAGGCACTGACATATAAGTGGCATATACTTAACAGACACATAAGAGAATAATACATTTTTTTAAAGTAATTGTGAGAGAAGGCTCAATGGTTAAGAGAACTGGCTGCTCTTGCAGAGGACCTGGGTTCCATTCCCAGCACCTATACAGCAGCTAACGACCATCAGTAACTCCAGTTGGAGGGTATCCAATGCTCTCTTCTGACCTCCGTGGGGAATGCACGGACATGGGTGCAATCACCTACATGCGGCCAAGTAAACTCATACACATAAAAAATATTAACGGGTTGGAGAGATGGTTCAGGGGCTAAGAGCACTGGTTGATTCTCAGCACCCATATGGCAGCTAACTTCAGTTCCAGGGCATCCATGCTTTCTTCTGACCTCTGTGGGCATTGCATAACGTGGGTATGCTCACACAGGCAGGCAATACACTCATACACATAAGGAATAATTTAAAAATAAAAGTAATGGCACCTGATATTGTTTAAGCACCATGTAAATATTTGCAATGTAGGCTCAAGTTCTAATTTCTGAGGTGGAGGATGCTCAGTGCATGGCCTCTGACTGAGGACCAGGGTTGTTCCCAGCTCCCACTCCTGAGGCTAAAACCGCCCACAACTCGGTCCAGGGGACCTGGCACCGTCTTCTGGCCTCTGGGCATTGCAGGCAAAACACTATCATCTATCCATCTATATATATGTGTGTGTGTGTAAATATATGTAAATATTTTTGTGGTTTTTTTTTTTTTTGGCCTTTTTGAGACAGGGTCTTCCTGTAGCCCCAGCTTGTAGACTAGGCTGGCCTTGAACTCACAGGGATCCACCTGCCTCTGCCTCCCGAGTGCTGGGATTAAAGTCGTGCGCCACCATGCCCAACA